TCTAGCATCTAGCACAGTGTCTAGTATATTGCAGAAACTCAATATTTGTTGATTTAAATTTATACTAAAATGTTTATATTTTGTTCATATATTAGTATAATATGATGCTATATGGAGACAAGCAGTATCTTTCGTGGCTTTTAAGTTGTTAATATTTTGTATTGAACTAATACCAATACTTTCATTCTCAATTCACAAGCCCATCTTTTCCTAGATGTTTTAGCAAGTTCCTTTATGTGAGAGATGCTTACAAGATTTGCTTTCATTAAATTCCAGTTTAAAATTTATGTCTCAAATACTGTTATTGTTTTTATCATGTTGAAAATTTATAAATATTTCACTTAGATTAGGGAAAATAGGACTTTATCTAGAGGGACTATAAGGAAATAAAAGCATCCAGTGCCATAAAATAGTTGCCATATACTTGATTAGAGGTAAATCAGCATAAACAAATTTTAAAGGCATTTTTCAGTCATGAAAAATGTTGTGATGTGACTTTAACTGGTAAAAAGTATCAAAGGAAGATGGACATTACATAAAGAAAGATAATATAGAATGCAATGGAGTCTTCAAATAATTATGAGAACTGAAATGAATCAGAATAAAATTCCAGGAAAGTTAGTTCAAAAATGTTTTCTTTAAATTTCAGTGATGAAAGTGTAATATTAAATTCAGTGGTGGTAGTAATTATCAATACTTAGAATGGAAAGGGTAGAAGATAGTGAGTAAGCTCCTTTAATGTTGTGTACAGGAAAATCTATAAATGTTTTTATGCACCCTCTAAAAGAGACAACAAAAATAGCCTGGGTTAGCACACTGAAATTGGTTTTAAAATGCCTAGCCCAGAAAACGTGTTTCTAAGTGTGTAGGTATTATACCATTCTTTATATTTGCAAGTGCTTAGCTGGTATCCCATTTCCACAGGACTGCTGACTAAATGTCCCTAATACTGTAGCTTAGCGTTGTACAATGCCATGCTTTTAAAACTGAAGCACACAAAGGTATGCGTAGGTATAGACAAAGCTTTATAACAAACATAGTGAGTTTTCCTGTTGTTGATTTATCCTACAACAAAAATAATCATATTGTGGATATAGAATTAAATAACATATGCAAATATTTTCCAAGGTAAATCATTCATAATAAATTTTGTGCTTTTATTAAGACACTTGTGTATACTCAGAAGTATCCATTCATTCGCTTCTGTTTACAGAGGTACATTACATGAAGAAGTTTAATAGGCACTAGTTAAAGAGTCTCCACTTCCAGAAGTTCTCAAAGATTCCTTGATCACAGTGCCTGGCAAAATTAAGGATTCCTTCTTCAGTACCCCAGTAGCATTTCTCCTATATCTATTAATTCCACAGTTAATTTTTTTTTATAACTTCTCAATCTGAATGTTTCTAATATAGGAACTTGGTTATTTTTTCTCCCCATCATTTGCATTTGGACCCATACCAAATTAATAGTGGGCACTCAATAAAGTGTGTTGAATATATTAGAAATTCTTCATATCATAAAGGCGATACACTAATGGCAGCATTTGTACTCTTATAAATTG